ATAATGCACCAAGAAAAGTAGCAATGCACCAACAAACAAGTAAGTAAGATGACTGCCTGTAGGCAGTGGTACTGTTAGTGTACATACAGTAGTACATGCACCAGAGAGCAATAACCAAATTTTAATTTTCAGAAATGATAAAATGTTATAATGAGGCAACATATTTATCAGATTTTTTTTTAAACCCCTTACTGTCAAAAATCCTTATAGAAAAACTGATTCTCCATTTTTGTCTCTGTTTAGTGCTTTCTACAGGGCTGTACTTCCTGTGATTTATCACTAGATTTTGTATAATTCTCCACTTCTGCAGCTGTGATAAATTATCTTTTTAGCCAGCACCCAGACCACATTAACACCCCTTTGCCCCCATGTCACTGCTGTAAAACCCACTATAACAAACTGTCACCAGGAATCAATCAGTTTATTGGCCAGGTGTGTTGGACACACAAGGAATTTGACTCAGGTACATCGGCTCTCAATGTGCCATTTTGATCAACTTTGAAAGCAGCTGTAGGTGGAGATAAAGTGGGCGACACATCCACTGGCTGTGCGTTCTGGTGGACCACAATCAGAATCAGACTCAGCTTTACTGGCCAAGTGTGTTGGACACACGAGGAATTAGACTCTGGTACAGTGGCTCTCAATACACATGTACAATGCTCTTTTGTAAAACAAAGAGTAGACAAGTAAACAAGATCAAGTACTTACAAATATAGAAATACATATACACAGTTTACATGCAGTTGCACAGAGGCTTGTTGTTCTGTTATATCATGGGAAGAAACTGTCCTTGTACCTGGTTGTCTTGGTGCACAGTGACCTGTAACGCTGTCCAGAGGGGAGGAGTTCAAACAGATTGTATCCGGGGTGTGAGGGGTCAGCAGTGATCTTCTCCACCCTCCTTTTGGCCCGTGAGGTGTACAGGTCCTCATGGAGGGCAGGCTCACACCAATGATCTTTTCCTCAGTCCTGACTGTCCACTGAAGTCTGTACTTGTCCTGTTTGGTTGCTGAGCCAAACCAGACAGTGATGGAGGTGCAGAGAACAGACTCAATGATTCCTCTGTAGAACTGTATCAGCAGCTCCTGGGGAACTTCCAGGAAGTTCGACCTCTGCTGTGCCTTCTTGATAATGGTCCTGATGTTGGACATCCACTTCAGGTCCTGGGAGATAGTGGAG